CTCTCTGTCTTATGTCTCCAAGAGTTATTTGTTATCACCTTAAGCCTTCCTTGGTAATCCAACTTAGAACCGAGGACCAATTGACTTCATAATATTTTCAACCCCGTCTTTGCTTTGTTTTTATGTTTCTCACCCACACCTTTTGCGTCTCCTTACCCATTATTTGTGACCTTGACCTGTACACAATCTAGTCTGTATTTTAATGTCTTCTTGCCTTCTATAAAAGCTGTGTATGACAAGTACTCGTATGTGCGTGTGATCAGAATGTCCGAAATATGTTTCACAAATATACACGGCATTACAACTTTCAGGTAAACTACACGTCTTCTTATTGTGTTGTCGAAATTCATAAAGGGAACGAATTACTTTAAAACACTCAAAGTTTAGGTTCAATTAGGACTTAAGTAGTCACTTAATGACATATGCAAGTAGATAGGGTGTGGGCTAAGTTTGTCAGTTCTAGTTCAAAGATGAATCACATGGGGCTAAATGACCAGACTCTACCTAACAGGTGATCACAAATAGACGACTTTGCAGTTCTACGTTCGCCTTTCATTAACCAAACCGGATAGTGTTCATCTACACGTTTTCGGAGATTACGCTTACAATGTCCAATATAGACAGCTCCACAAGAAATATACCCATTTACTCATAAGTATAAACACAGCATTTTTGTTTGCTCAGCGAAGAAATTTCTCCATTCAACGACTTCATTTTCAAGCCAAATGTACAATCGTACTTATATTACACAAAAAGTTATTAAGTGGCACTAAATAATTACTTGAGTCAACATACATATATATAAGTGATAAGAATAACGATAATTAAAATATTATAAGGGGTAGAGTTGAACTGGATAAATTACAAAATTATTAAAGATTGTTTTATAAGCAAATTGATATCAAACATGTTTTAAAAATGTCAAGTGTTGTCTACAAAATTTTAGAAATTAGGAGTACGATTACGATTAGAATGAATATGTGAAGTGAAGTGGAATGAATTCAAGTGGTAAAATAAAATAAAAACTAGAAAGAAGATTACTATGATCAAGGTATAGAAAGAGGTTCGACAAAACGTTTTTGAACAAATAATTTAGGTTTCTGTTCATGTATATAGCTAAAGCTTCGGCTAGCTATGCATAAGTGAAGAAAACGTAAACTTTTTGAGGGATTCGATTTTGCCATGTAGATAACCTTGAAGGATGAATCACGTGGGGCTAAAAATGACCAGACTCTATCTAACAGGTGATCACAAATAGACGAATTCTCAGTTCGCCTTTCATTAACCAAACTGGATAGTGTGTTCAGCTACATGTTTTCTGAGGGTACGCTTGATACACTTTCAACTCTACCCCTTATAACATTGTAATTATCGTTATTCTTATCACATATATACGTAAATTGACTGAGCAATTATTTAGTGCCATTTAATAACCACCTTTTTCTGTAATATAAATACGACTACTGTACAGTTGGCTTGAAAATGAAGAGTCGTTGAATGGAGAAATTTCTTCGCTGAACAAAAAAAAAACTGTTTTTACTTATGAATAAATGGGTACTTTTCGTGGTTTTTTTTTAATGCAAAAAGGAGTCTATTCGATAAGTGACAGCTGGTATTTGTTCTATTATAAATAAACTCCAAAGCATCAGTGTAACCAGACTTAAAAGCTGGGTTTTTCGTGAATTTCGTTTTGGTGAAATCTACTTGGAAACAGTTCAATAGTTGTGTATTCCTGGGGTTAGCAATTTTTAGCATATGGACGACCGCCACCTACAATGCGCCTAATAATACCAACAACGGAAGCAAAACTACCTACCGGTGAACATCAAGCCCCCGACGAGAACACAAGTGTCCTGAAGGCAATCAACATGCTAAACTCTCTAGCTGGAAAAGCAACAGGACCAGATGGAATCCCAGCAGAAGCATTGGAAATGGCTCCAGAGACACCCGTACTGGACTCGATGACACTACTACTGGAGAAGGTGTGGAAAGAGGGCAATATACCCGAGGATTCGAAGAAAGGATACTTATTCAAACTGCCAAAGAGAGGAGACTCAAGTCAATGAAAGAACTGGCGTGACATTATGCTCCTGTTTATCCCTAGCAAAATACTAAGCCGAATTATCCTGGAAAGAATCAAACACGCCGACCTGGATGAAAAACTTCGACCGGAACAGGCTGGATTCAGGAGAAACACGTCATGTATTGATCAAATCGCCACACTACGGATCATCATTGAACAAAGATTGAAGTGGCAGTCACGTCTCTATTTCAACTTCATCGACTTTGAAAAGGCCTTCAACAGCGTCGATCGACAGGTCATTTGGCAACTGCTTCGCTACTACGTGGTCCCATTGACAATTATACATCTTATCTAACAGTTGTTTGTACGACAACGCTGCATGCTAAGTAATCCACAATGGGAAATTTATGGAATCCTTCGAAGAAGTGAAGACGGGAGTAAGACAAACTGACTGGCTGCTTACTATCGCCGATGATTTTCTTGATTGTAGGTGGTAGATTGGATAATGCGACAGACAGTGCAGTGAGGAAACAGGCATAAAATGGACCCTCACGAAAGGTCGCCAGCGTGAGGGTGACTTGGAGGAGGTCATGTGAAGAGGAGACGACGAAAGCATGTGGGCAGACCTAGAGCCAGGTGAAAACTTCGGCAGAGAACCGAACACAGTGGAGACGTGAGCAGCTGAAGCCCTATGTTCCTCTAGTAATCAAAGGAAATAATAATCATACAATAATAATATTTAGCGCAAACACACAACCAAGACTACCCACCCCGCCGAAGAAATCAAATCACCGGAAACAACGCGTATCACACGGTAGAAAATTTTGAACTCGAGAACAGAGGATGCATCGTTCGCATAATGCAATAACGACGACTTAGATATGATAAACAAGATTTGTAGCTCAGGTAGATGATTTTGATGTGATTGTGTTCTCTGAGCTAACTGGATAGTTAATTTGAGAAGCTTTCATCGCCCTAGTAGGCAGGCGACATCTCCCTTCAGCGCATACACTTCAATTTCAATTGAAGTGAGTATTTAGATTTCTCCACGAGTTCACTATTAATCATCTCTCCTGGTCCGTGACCACCTTGGACGTGACTCTGGTTGTTTTTGTGTTTTCACACCTTCTAGGCGGCCACTTGTATCGATATTGAACTGATTGTTTCTTTGACTTGAACTTTCACCCTTTGTGTGTGTGTGAGGTTTCTTCCATATCGGTTGATAAATTTTTTTTTTGATTTACAGCTTGATTCCACACCGTATTTTTGGTACAGGTATGGAATTTTTAGCATGGATATCGGCAGCCCAAATTTTGCAGGCCGACCATAGATATCAGGTGTGCGTCGGCGGAGGCTCGAACCTCGGACCATGTGCATGGTCGGTGAGAGTCCTAACCACTGTGCCACCGACGCACAAAAGAGTGCGTCAGCAGGGGATAGAACCCTGGACCACATGCGTGGTCGTCGGGCATTCTACCTCTGTGCTAACGACGCACTATCTCGATGTGTCTATTGATTGATGGTTCACTGGAATATCTACCAGGTAGGCTTCTAAAAATTCTCTAGCATTCTCGGTGTTGTTTCATCTCTCTGTCTAATATTTGAACGTTGGTTGTCCCAGCCGAATGAATGTCCAACCAAAAGACTCAACAACGAAAGAAGATAAAACCAACATCATCTAAAAAATAAATTGTAACAAACTATGAAAAACACTACATTGGCCAAAGTGGACGTCCCTCCTCTTCATCTTCGTACCCATCATCATAAACTAACCATCAAAAGATATGACATCCACTCCCTCACTCATATCGTCTCACTGCATACAGACAACCACGGAAATCAATTCGACTGGGACAACCAACCAGGGTTCAAATATTAGATAGAAGAAACACCGAAATGGTAGGAAGTTTTTAGAAGCCTACCTAGTAAGTATCCCAGTGAATCATCAATCAATAGACACATCGAGATAGACAAAATTTATCAACCGATAAGAAAGAAACCTCACACACACACAAAGGGTGAAAGTTCAAGTCAAAGAAACAATCAGTTCCAATATCGATACAAGTAGCCGCCTAGAAGGTGTGAAAACACACAAAACCACTAAAATCACGATGTTGAAGGTCACCGATAAGGAGAGATGATTAATAGTGAATTCGTGGAGAAATCTAAAAGCTCACTTCAAATTGAAGTGTATGCGCTGAAGATGTCGCCTGCCTAGTAGGGTGAAGAAAGCTTCACAAATTAACTATCCAACCACATCAAAAACGCCAACGACTTACAGGAGATAACGACGACTGGTAGGTAGAAGACATAGACAGTCTAAGTCTCCATGAATATTTAATCAAAATCGCACTTGCTGATGACATTATCTTTCACACACACACACACACACACATGCATACATACACACGCACATATCTGTAAAACGAAATCAATCTATGCAATCACGATGGTGTCTCACACACTTTTAAAAGCAAAATCATTATTATTATTATTGTTATTAACAAATAACTACGTTAATAAATTAAAAAACAGAGATCCTGGGGTTGGTTATATGGATGGTGGTGGTGGTGGTAGGGGGCGGGGGGACAATTGTAGTAATAATGACTTCCTTCCTGTTACGAACTTTGCAGCAGACACTGTGTCGTCGTCAATGGTCGGTCAAAAGAAGAAGAAGCATTCATATAATAACGAAAACCGACAAAAAGATATTTTTTAATAAAAAAAAAAGGAAAGAAAAGAGGGAGTACACACAACAACACATCCGACCGCCGAAATCACAGTGAATTTTGACAATTATATGAAAGTTTTTATTGAAATCGAAAGAAAGCGAGCGAGCGAGCGCGCACGCACGCACACACACATGCATGCGCTGATAGATTATTCTGTGTAGTAATAAAATACATCACTCACAGTACATTAAGAGAAAAATATGCGTAAAAGGCAAATGATGATAGTTAACATAGAAAAAAAAAGTTTAGTACTCTGATAATCCTCTTCCATGTGATGTGAAACCTCCGCCAACTGGTCTCACGAGACGCATTTCAAGGTGATTTCTAAAGTGACACGGTTGTTTACACGGCAGGCGTACACATCCGCTTGATGCAGTAGCAGTAGAAGTAGTACCAGGAAGACTTGGACGTGAAGTCAAGTGAGGTGTAAACGGTTGACGTGGAGAAATGGAAGAAAAGCGTTCTTCTTCCAATACAGACTTATGCGTCGGGAATCGTATAGCTGAAGAATGATAACCAGAAGACGTGGAAATGTCTTTCGTCTCATTATGATACTTTTCCGTTGGATAGTAGGCTTCATGACTTTCAGGAGTACTGTATGATGAGGCAGGATTAACAATATACGCCAGGCCGACAGACTGACCATTACGGTGTAGCATACGAACAGTCTTCAATTGGTGGAAGCCTTTGTCTTCGTCTTCCCCCTGCAGACAATTCTCTTTGAACTCTATAATTCGTCTTAACTGATGCTCGATTTGTTTTGTCGCTAGATTAGTTCGTGAAAGTTGATTTCTCAATGCCTAGAGAAATAAAAATGAATAACCATTAGCATTGGGCATTATTGGGTTTGTTAATAAATAAACGCATTCAAACAAAATGAATAACTTTTTAAAGTGAAGAAATGAAATGATTGATTAATAAACATTAAAATTTATATTGAAAAAATCGATAAAAAAGGATCTTTATATCAAGTTCACTCTATGCATAGTTAGTGATAGTTATTATTATTATTGCCTCAAAAGCCTCAGGATGGTCGGGGGTGGGTGCCTTGCGCTACTGCGAGTTGGCCACCCCGCACCTCCGTACACCTCTTGAAATGCTCCTATATGACCGGGCGTCTTACGTAACCTCTCCTGAGGAAGTCCTACTCACTGTCTTCATGTGGCGGAGGTGTTTTTCACCACTGAAGTGAGAGGGCAAAAGCGGATGCCCGGCGCTCTTTACCGGGTTGACTGACTATCCATTGGATGACAGTCTAGGGGAGATGGCTCAACCCTGCCTGATTCCAAACCTCCAACGACTGGCGTATGAAGCTCACCGGAGCTCACCGTCAGACGTATGGACAAAGGGCTTATTGGATGCCCTGGTGCATGTCTGGCCCCATTCAAAAAGGCGTATGAACCGGACTCCGGTGACCGGCTGGCTTCCAATGGATAGTGGACTCCCTACTCCACTCCTACTACCTTGTAGGAGGTCACACTTGGTTGGTCGTGTAAAGGCTAGAGCTGCACTCTCAGATAAAAGGCCGAGCGATTCTGGGGACATCACTCGTACCTAATTCCCATGAATCTTCATGAACTCTCGTTGTTACAACATCAACCAAATTCCAGTACTGGTCCAACACCGTCGCCTTCGGTGGTTTGGCTATGTTCTGAGCCGACCAGATGACGATCTGGTCAAATCAGTCAAATCTAAATCCCTCGCCATTTCCATTTTATCTTGGCGATGTCGCATGGGGAGGGTGGACAGCTGAAAACACATGGCTTGGTACAGTCAGTCAGGGGTGATATGGAGTTACTGGGCTGGGGCTACAAACCGTCTACGGACTCCGTCTGTGGAACAAGAATTGGATAACCCTGTCGCAAGATCTTGCAGCCTGGGCAGCGATGATTCGAGATGTTCATGAAGCCGGCTCATCCTCCCGTAGGAGATAGCCGAAGTAAAGTAAAGTAAGTAAGTAAGTAGTGATAGTTATTACGCAATAAACGCAAAACACTAATCTCTGCTAAATAATCACAGGCGTCCGTTGAAGCTATTCCATATTAGTTTATTTATTAGATGTATCACACACACAGTCAGTGAGTGAAACAGTATTAGTATTTACTTACTGGATAACACAGTTTCGAACACACACAATTCACTGTTGCTGTTCATAATCATACAAAATTACCAATTATAATCTCACGACTTCGAAACTTGACTTTTATAGTTTTCTTTGTCCTCTGCTATTTGTCGTCATTATTGGAGTGGTAGTAGAATTTTCCAGATATTGGGATGGACAGATGTTGAATCATTCTTATTACACGTATTCCCACATCTCAGTTGATTCGATAAACAAAGCTTCCGTTCTTATAAATCTTCCCCACTTGCCACCCTGTTAGTTGTATTAGATTTTAAAACTGTCATCCCATGCCATCCAGCCTATTGTATGGTTATATGTAACTGCATGTAGTACTTGCGATAGCTGAACTTTTCTCTAGATTTCTTATCTTATTCGGGTCGACCAATCTACATTTTGCTGCTAGGCTTTTATCCTCGGTTACTCTGACTGACTCACTGCCCCTGTTCTACCAGTTTGACCTATGTATCTGACCTGACAATCATTGCAGGCAGGGTATTAGATAAACTAAATTGTTTTGTTTTAAAAACTCCATTGTCAGGATTGATCCTTTAGCCGACAAAGTTTGTTTCTAATTGAGTTTGTGGCGAGGGGTTGAATTCCAGTCATTTTTATTCCTGCTTGGCTTGTTAAGAATTCTCCGATGTAACGTGGTTTCCGACGTTCCTTCCTTGTATGGATCTTGTATGATCTAGATTCCTTATTGTTGGTGTCGTCCGCTGAAGCTGATGTCAAATAGATATTCAAATGGAACCGGATAGACGACTGGAACGCCGAAAAGAACACTTTGTGGAGGAATTCAATTGGCCTACACCCACCTGCCGAATATCTAACACCTTCCTGAATGGGATATAGACACAGGTCCTCCGTCCTTAACTTAGGTTACTAAGGATCTCACTAATCTGAAACAAGGCAAAACAGCAGGACCTGATGGAATGACTCCAGAGGTATTTCAGTACGGTGGAGACAGTTTACTGTCTGCATTAACTGAAGTACTAGGCAGCGTTTGGGAATCAGAAGTCCCGTCGGGTTGGTGTAAGTCACTGATTATCCCCATATACAAGAAGGGGGGCAAGTCTTCCTGTGATAATCATAGAGGGATTAGCTTGACTAATATGATGGTATCTAAAGTCCTAGGATCAATAATCATGTGTAGACTAAGCGATGCTCGAGAGGCACAAACACGAGAGAACCAGGGAGGCTTTAGACCAGGAAGAGGGTGTATTGATCTGATCATATCTTCACCCTCCGACAGATTCTGGAGCATAAGCATTCTTACCGGCGTCCAACAATCATTATATTTCTTGACCTAAAGGCGGAATTCGATTCTGTCTACCTAGAGGTACTCCGACTATGATTGGCTGTAAAGCGAACGACGAGAAAATATATTGCACTGATCAAGCCACTGACTCTACTCGAACTCATGCAATCAGCCAGGTGAGGGCTTACGGCGGGTTGTCATCTGAAGTGGTGACGACTAGTGGTGTCCATCAGGGATGCCCACTATCCCCATTTCTACTCAATTTCATCATAGATGTACTAATGAACTTAACCCTAACTCACTTCAGAGACTCAGGGATTGACCTGCTACCAGGGAATAATCTCGTTGACTTAGAATATGCAGACGATATATTCCTTCTAGGTGAGGACGCTGACAAAATGCAGTCTTCTGAACATCTTGAGCTGCAATCTCCAGGAGTTTGGCATGCGACTAGCTCCCGTCAAATATATGATGTTACAGGACTGTCTGGACTATACTGACTCCTAGTTTAGAAATAGGGAGTGAAGTGGTTGGTGGAGCACGTTGACCGATTCACTTATTTGGGAAGTACCACCAGCCAGTGCCAACGGGTTGATCTCTGACGGAATCTCAGTACGGATACAGAGGGCTAGTTTCGCAAATGCCAATTTACATCGTCTATCTCTCTCTCTCTGGCTTAGTAGACGTGATATCCGGCTGACTGGCTGTCGACCAAAGGGTGGATGTACTACTCAGTTCGCTCCGTTTGTCCTTTATGACCAGCTGCGAGACCTGGGCCTGGAGAGTGGAAGACATGAAAAGCATCGCTGGCTGTCTTCGATCATAGGTGCCCGCGTTCTATCTCCCATGTTAAGTGGTATAATAATGTGACCAGTATTGAGGTTAGGCGTCGATCGAGTGCTAGGTACGTGGGAGGGAAATCAATCGACGAGACTGTGAAATTACATCGACTGAGATGGATGGTTAGGACATATGTTACGAATGAATGCCTAGTCATCGCCTTCCTCGACAATGGGCAATGTTAGCTGACATAGGATTGGTCAGGCTGGAAAACAGAGACAGCGGTGGTCAAACCAAAACATGGCTTCACCAGTCAATGAAATCCACAACAGTTAGTCTAAGCCAGCCAGCAAGTCACGCAGGAAGGTGTAGACTTCTTGAATCACTGGTTGGGGTCCTCAGGACGGTAAAAACCAATAAAGGCTGGAAACAATTGGTGATATGACTGAAAATCAATGGCTGGCGCAGGTGCATTCACTCCTTATGACTTATGATTTCCAATGAAACTATATTGTTCTTCGTTCGTTATCACAATTCCTTTGTCTCACACCTCTGTTTATCGTCTCTATTATGCGTTACATTTTTACTTTCTTCTCTAGTTTTGTGTGGTACACGGAGGGAGTTTGGCGACTTGAACTGGTGCACATCGGTGCAAAGGGGTTCTATGTCGAAAATAGATAGACAGAATTGTGACTGACGTTTGTTCACTTCCCTGACTGTATCAGACATGGACCTCTCCTCAATGGGCAGTTTAATACTTAGTTACAACACAGAAAACCATTAGAAAACCAGATATTCTTTAGTTAATTTTTAGCAGGAAATGGCTTACCCGAATTTCAACAACCTCTTCTTGTACTTCCGTAGTTAATCTTTCCACTTCAGATTGCTTTTTACTGGCACACTTTCGAGCATACCTTCTATTTTGTAAACGACGTCTACGATTACGTAGTTCTTTGTGTTCTTCAGCGGTGACACGATTTCGGTCTAACAATAGCCGAAGATCAGATGTTGTCATATTGACTAATTCATCATCAGTCAAACTGAGACTCATGGTGGTATGGTTCCTGACAAAAAAATCAATATTTGCGCGTACGTTAAAGGAAAAAAAATCAGTCAAATGCAATTAGTTTGTGAAACTGTACCTCAGGTTTTATGTCAAGAAAACTTTATCAACTCGGCTCAAAATACACTCAGTGTCTTGTTTTGGGCGAAGTTCAACAATAGCGTCCCCCCCCCCCAGGAGTGTGAACGCTCCAATGACCCTGAACGCATGCTAGTCGTTGGCTAACGGCATCTGTCATTTGATCATAGCTGAAATATATCAACGCTGTTCCCTACAGCTAAGGGGCAAATTTCACTCAGATCAGGTTTTTAAGTACTGTTTGGACAATGTGTTAATAACTCGTTAGGGTTAGGATTCGAGTTAAGGTAAGTATTGGAGTTAGGATTAGGACAGATGCCGTCACAGTCAACGACTAGCATGCGTTTCAGGTCCACACTCCTGAGACGCTATTGCTAAACTTCGCCAATAAAGTTACTACGCCCTCTCTTGGACAACCTTATAGCTCCCATTAAGTTAGAATGTAAACTTAAAGTGTACTTTTTTTAATTATGACGAAACATTAAGCATGTGTATTCTCCAGTTAAGTTTTTCATACGAATTAAATCAGTTTGGTTACCCCCAAAGAATTAGGTGTAAATTTTTTTCACAAATATTGTTTAGGTACACAACGATCAATAAACCAGGAGACCAGTGGAAAGCATGGAGAAGGTTGCTGAAAACCGTTAGAGTTCAGGATAATGCGTTTCTCTGCTGATCCAGAAATAAAAGCAGAATTTGCCGGAGTTTGAGTTCTGATTACAGTAACACCCGGGAGCATAAGAGAAAGTGGAAGGTTAACGTAAACAAGAGAGAATGGTCACACACGTATTTGACTACAGGAATGTTGAAAAAATAACAATGCATGCACACTTCCCATTTTAAGGACTTATCAACGTGTTTATATCACTTCTTTTATTGCATTGAAAACTGACCTGACAGATGGTACACCTCAAAGCAATGAGAACTGTGAAACCACTCATTTATTACTCAGCGCCACTGGTATTATAGCAATGTTCCCCTGCCATGCAATCACCTAGTCAGACGAAATATGTATGACCTTAAACATTTTGGATTAGACCAACACTTATGTGAGTGGTTTAGTGGCTACCTGATGGATAGAAGGCAGAAGGTAAGGGTTAGTGGTGTACTGTCAGGGTGGAAAGCAGTACTAAGCGGAGTACCTCAGAACTGCTATTCCTATTATACGTAAATGAGGTGCCGAAAATTCTCGCCTCATCTTTCTTACTATTTGCGGACGATATTAAGAAGATATGGAAAACCGTAAATAGTGGCGATGATAGATTGGTACTACAAAACGACCTACACAAATTAGATGAATGGGCTAACCTCTGGAATCTGGAAATTAATTCCAAGAAAGGCGCGGTAATGCATCTAGGTCAAAAGTCTTACACGTCGTACTCCATGGGGGACACAGAACTGCCAGATGTTAGGGAACAAAATGACAGGAATTATGGTTAGCCATGACTTAAAAACAACGGCGAACTGTAATCGATCAGCAGCTAAGACTTTTCGAATGCTATAGGCCCTTCGCAGGGCTTTCAAACAATTAGACGAGGGTATGTTCCAAGTACTCTATGCAACATATGTCAAGCCTCAAGCGGCGAGTTCATGCTTCAAAAAGGAGGCACATATCCTGGAAAGAGTACAAAGGGTAGGAACGAAATTAGTTAGTGGTATCTCACACCTTCCTTATGATAAGAGGATGGAGCATTTAAATCTCTTCCCGTTATCATACCGAAGGAGGAGAGGCGACTTAATTTTGGCTTACTGCATATTCGAGGGTGATTTAGGGATTGACCTTTCAAACCTTTTGTCTCCCTCTAGGATACATTTACGGGGTCACCAAAAGGTTTTCAAAGCGAGGCCGAATAAAATACGTTTTAAGTTTAGATTCTCTCACAGAGTGGTCAACGACTGGAATTCCTTACCTGATTCAGTAGTAACAGCTCCATCGGTGGACGCTTTCAAAGAGAAACTGGATCTCTGCAGAGATGTATATATCGCGAGGATTAATAAAAGGCAACAAGAGCCTTCTATCCTTATAATCTGAATCTGAAATTTAAGTACTGAGGTTTCAAAGAGCAGACTAAATCAACTGGCACCAAAGGTAAACTGTACCTTCCCATTTGGTCGAGTAATTTAACCACCTTATTTTACTGTCAGAGAAATTGCTATGTATAACTTCAGTTGAATCAGCTACAAAGAATGTCAGTTTTCAATCAAGAGCAGCTGCTTTTAGTATATCGCTAGCCCTAGTCCAACATATCATTAAACCCACGCGCTATGACTCACAGCACTCCACCTCAACTCTGGACCTAGTGTTCTCCCACGGTGAGGATGTGGATCTCATACAACATCTTCCTCCTTTAGGAAGAAGTGATCATGCTGTGCTCACTTTCAAGTTTACAGCAATGGCAGCAAGGGTTGAAACCGCAGCTCGACTAAACGTTTGGAATGCTGATATAAATGCAATCGTCTCAGCAGCCAACTCAGTAAACTGGTACATCAACCTAGAGTCCCAAGTAAAAGCCTCAAGGAACCAATTTTAAAAAATTTACGCCCAAGTAACTGAACCTTTCATCCCTTGGTTTGTCCCAAAGCGTCAGAAACATTGACCCCCCTTGGATAAACCGAGAGATTCGTAAGTTACTCAGACGTAAACACAAATGTTGGAACCTGTTTGCCACACTTGAGACTTCTGAGACCAGGAAATCATATAACGCTGCTAGAAATAAAGCTATTGCAGAAATCCGCCAGTCAAGGATGAAGTTCGAAGCACATCTGTCTCAAAATGCAAAGGCAAAACCTAAGAAAATTTCCTCATACATGAACTTCAGGAATAAAACATCCAATGGTGTCCCAAACCTGACTATTGACAATGACACAATCGAAGAAGATCAAGAAAAAGCAGAAGCAATGGCAGACTACTTCTCCCACGTCTTCGCTTAGTAGTCATCACTTCCTATAGGATCAGCTCTGGCTGCATCAGAAAAATACGGGATAGATTCCGTTGACATCGACCAAGGCATCATGCTCAACTGCCTAATGAAACTAGATGCAGGGAAATCAATAGGCCCTGATAATCTTCATCCAAGGCTTCTCAAGAAGCTATCAGCTCACATAGCCGGCCTTTTGACCACGATCTTCAAGCTGTCTTTCGTAAATGGAGTGTTACCGCGTGACTGAAAAGACGCCATAGTAACCCCATCCACAAAGGAGGATCAAGACAAAGCCATTCAAATTACAGGCCTATCAGTCTCACCGGCACCTTAATCAAGGCACTGGAAAGAATCATCAAGGAAAGCACCATGTCATATCTGGAAAACATCAGCTTGTTATCTAGAGCACAGCATGGCTTCCGAAGAAACCTCTCGTGCCTGTCAAATCTCCTCACTGCAAGAGAAAGCTGGATCAAATCAAGAGACAACGAAAGACTCATTGACGCAGTCTTCATAGGCTTCAGCAAAGCCTTTGATAAAGTACCTAACAAAAGGCTACTCATGAAGTCAGAAAGTCTTGGTATTATTAAACTGCCTCAGGGAATTCCTCATAGATAGGAAGCACAGGGTTAGGATCAACGCGAAACTCTCCTCTTGAACAGCAGTATGTAGCGGAGTGTCACAGGGCAACGGTACTCATTTATTTTGTATATCAGCGAGTTATCTCTGCTCACCGACTCCCCTACGCTCCAAGCCTTCTATCCTCAACCAATAAGTCTGAATCTGAAATCTACCCAGCTAGCATTTTTTTCGGGCGCATTGCAGAATTTTTGGGGCAGACTTAGGGCGCATTGCTGGGTCCTATAGGACCCCTCACAAAGTTCCCTGAATACAGTACAGGGAAAAGAACATTTTTTTCCGTAATAAAAAAAGCTATTCTATGTGGTACATCAGTATGTGTGAACTACTGTTGTGGGAGAATCGCAGAGAAACTATAATATGTATAGAAGACTCCTCCTAAGGTAAGCAACAGCTGATTGGCTCATATACTTCACAGTGAAATAACTGTAAAATTAGACTGCTGATCACCACATGTCAATACAGTTCAAACAAGTGAACGACGTTTAAAATTAACGTGAGATGGGCTGTACGATTTACTCTGAAATAAGACTTACCTTCCTACCGAAAACGGTAATACGAAACCCACGCAAAATCTACAGAAGCAAAAATATCCCCACAAACTTAATACCTGGTTAGCTCAAACAAACAAACTTTGAAATGAATTCAATAGACAGTCTCACAAAACAAGCTTTCAGTTGCCTGAAAAGGCTTTATCGCCTTTTCATGCTATTATGTGGCTTAAAATACAAAATATGAAGTGAAATGAGTCGCGAAGAGCATTTCTGAATTTCGACAACACAAACTGGTCCTTGGTTCTAACTTGGATTTACTTCATAATGTTTTCAACCCCTTCTTTGCCTTGTTTTTCCTCTTTTTCTCTTGTTTGCCCACACCTTTTGCGCCTTCCTACCTTGACCTGTACACAATCTTACCTGTATTATAATTATTCATGCCTTCTTGCCTTCTATAAAAACTGTGTATGACATGTACGCGTGTGTGATCAGAACGTCCGAACTCTGTTGCGCCAATACATTACACGCTTCAGATAAACTACGTCTTCTAAATTACTTATCTTCTCGGGTAGGCCGAAGCATTCTTACCTTAGCTAAATTCTTATGTTCCGACAATCTGAGTACCCCCGACCTACTAGTTTGACCTATGTAGTTGACCTCAATCACCGTGATTGTTGGGTAATTTGTAAATTATATTATTTTGTCTAATTGGGTCAACTGGGTCCTCTAAACTGCACAGCTCGTCCCTGAGTGAGTTTGTAGGTTTAATGCCACTCTTAATAATAATAATAATAATAATTTACTTTATTCCAAAAACAGTACTTGTGATACATAACGGAATTTTTCGCATTAACTTTATCCCTGCTTTATTCAGAATCCCTACGTAGGGTTTCAGATGTCCCCTCTTTATATGGTATAACTGTAGATTACTTATATTCTCGCTTATTTATGTTATCATCAATAGTTTCACAATTATTTTTATTGTTCGTTTGGCCTTTTTCGATCTTCCTAATGAATTTTGCAAGATAGTTATTTAACACCAAAGCCCCCTTCTATCTGTTTCAGTTCATCATTTAGGTCTTTTTTTGTGCTACTTGGTGCTAATGCTCGGTTTGTTAAACACATATAAATTTTGAACTGTTACCCTGCGGGTGTTTGGTTTCTGTGTGAATTATCTTTCCTCAATGTTTTGGAAATTATCTTATTTTTATACCCACAAGACTTTTTTCCAGAAATTGTGAAGTTTTTTGTTTCTGTAATGATTAAGTCTATCAAACGTGTAAGTACCGTTAAGAGAATAAGATCTAATACTGGTCAACCATCTGAAGGCCTTCGTTGACGACTCTACACTTTTTGCACTAGCCACACCCAGAGTTATGGTATCTGATATCATGGAGGAACTGACAGAGAATGCGGCTTGTAGCAAAAATGATTTATTGACACTTCAGAAGTCAATAGTAGAACTACAGAGCAAGTTTGACAGCATCATGCCTCTCACGCAGCTGTGTGACCCATCACAAAACTTCTGTCTTGAATCACTAATCAAATCCGAGCACATAATTGACTATTTGGTTGAAGAAGCTGTTAAGAGGATTATGTCTTCACACAACGTCTTGGCCTATAACAATCCAGACAGAGAGCCGATTGCCAAACTTAAGATTTCGTGTCCAAAGGCTTGTAATATGTCTTTGACAGAATGTCAGGTTTTGCGTCTTCGTAAGAAATCTGCAAACCACCCGTGTCCGGTGCTTTTCAAGCTTAGGTCTACTGAAGAAGCCAGGAATTTTCTGAAATCGGGTAAGACAATAGGCTCTTCGACACCCTACACTAACATTAGGGTTGCACCTGATTTAACATCATGCCAAAGACGATGCCGCTCAAACACAGAACGCTGATAACTCTAATAGGATAACTGTAGATGATGTTCCGTGCGTTATTCCGTCTAGTGAAATACCCGATCACTACATGCAACAGACATTTTCTCAGGCACTGGCTAATGTTAGCCAAGCAGTATATAACGATACTGATGCTGACACTGAAATGGTGGACATAGATGAGTCAACGGGAAATAATGTTGAAATACATCGTTTTTACACTGACGCAAAAGTCAAGAGCCCAAAACCATCAAAACCTATCCCACTGGTGTTCCAACCTTCCCCTTATAAGTCAGTTACTCCTCAGTCTGACAATCCCCACACTGTGAAGCACCAACCGAATGTAGCTACCCAAGTTGGCAAGTTTTCTAGGCGTTATGACAAACGTCCCATTTCCATTAAGAAAACTAAAGCTCATGAGGTGTCCAAGCAACAGAAACCCTACATAGCATGTGCTGGCTGCCCTGTTAGCCACCATCAACCAGTCGATCATAAGATTAGGGAAAAAGAAGTAAATAAATTAAATACTGGACCGGGAGCAAGAAAGCCCTTTGAGATGATAGAGATGAAAGCACCTCTAAGTCATCTTTCTAAGAGAAAGTCAAATACGGTAGACCAAGCTCTTAGGGGTAGGCCTAATTGGTGTCAAGTGGAAAGCCAGTTTTATCCAACCACTAATTCTAGACAAACAGCACAGCAAGGTAGTAGGTATTATTCTGTGCATCCACTACGTAAACCCCTTGTCAGCCGGCCCACTTCTAATATTCTATCGACTGAAAGTTATAGAAAATCCCGATTTCTGCACAAAACTTGCTATGGTCTGATGACTACCCGAAACAGATACCAACACTTCATTCTTATCCTGGCAAAAAATTACCGAATAATCATATGGGCTATAAATTCGGGCAGGATTTTCACCGGCGTCAGTTAACAGAAGCACCAGGCATCATGCATATAGCACGCACGATATCAATTCCTTGCTGGCATAGCGGACAGTCTACAGCTAGAGCAAGGGATATTTCCCGGGAGATAGCTGACGCAGTGTCGACACCAAACGCGGATACTAATACCTCTAAAATATTAATATCTGATTATCACACAGGTGTCTCTCACTGCATACCATATCCAAACGAAAGGCCATCCCTGACTACCACCTCAAAAATCTACCTGAAGTCTTCCTGTGATCCAAAGATATTGGTAAATGAGTCTGATAACATATATAGAGAGGATACTCACGGATTATTTTACTAAGATGTTGTACGCTCACTGAAACCACATAGCCAGTGTTTATCTATTATCCTCATAAATGCAAGATCAGTTCTAAGCAAACACTTAACACTAAGTACATTAGCTTCTATATGCAGGCCGTCATTGATTATGATCACCGAAGCCTGGTGCACAAGTGAAATCTCCAATGACAGCCTAAGAATTGATTACCTCAACCTTTTTCGAGGGGACAGACGGAGAGGTCGTGGGGGTGGAACACTAATTTACTGTGAACAATTCATGCGTGCAACCCAGTTTAGTAACCCAATTCTGTCACAACTCAATGACTCGATCTGGGTCGAAACAAAAGTTGTCAGAAGTAAACCCTTACTTGTGGGTTGTGTGTACCGACCCCCTTCATCCAGCAGGGAATATGATAATATGCTCAGCAATGTTTTTAATGTTACAGCCAATAATCCTTTCAGTTATAAAATTATCGGGGGTGATTTCAACATGCCAGAAGTATCGTGGTCTTCACTCCGAGGGCCCCGAAGGTATGATAATCTCATGAATTTCATCGTCACAGTAGGGTGGACACGACACATAGATTCACCCACTAGATCCACAAATATCTCAGACCTTATCTTCACGAACAACATAAAACCATCTACAGTACATGTGGGACAGGAATTTCCAGGTAGTGACCACAAAATAGTAGAGTTTTCTTTCGACATCTTTCTTGAAACAAAATGCAGAGATAAAGCTGGCCAGATACCTATGAGATTGTACACACGTGCTGACTGGGACTTGTATCAGCACCTAATTAGATTTTCTAATTGGGACTCTTACTTTTCGAACGAGTCCTTAGATGCAATTCTCAACAACTTTTATCGGAATATTAACTCAATTCATGACGTCATTGCACCTGAGAAGATTCTTAGCTTCAGATTCCCCTAAAGCGATTATATTCCGACATCGTTTAGTAGAAGTCCACGAAAGCACTCAATAAAATACTAGAGACATCATGACTTATCGTCATTAATTACAATTACGTCCCTTGTCAATAGAGTTGAAGAGTTGGGAAATACAAGCCTCCGAAACAAAGAAATGCAGGCCATTCAGGCACCGCATAACTCAGGAGAAATAGCCAAACGTTTTAAAAGTAGGTTGGCGAACTCCCAAACACCCTATCCGAAAATAATATTCTCATAATACAGTACATAGGGGACGCCAGTTTACAGGCTTTATCGAATTGTTACAGAAATAGAGCCATATAATCCTATCAGAATTTACAGTCGATAGCAAAATGTTTTACATGTACTCTGGAGATTATACATACACTTGATAGATGTTAATTCGGATAGTATAAAACATCCTTTTCGCGTATGTACAATCATTTCTGTGCACAGTTGGAAAAATATGCTAGATTGTCAGTGAGTGAAACACATCAGGATATACAGATGGGATGGGTTATAAGTGCCTGGGAAAAAAATAAAGCTTGAAGTCAATTTTCATACATAATTTTGTTGTGTGCAGAATCCTTGAATTATAGTTCATTGATGTGTTATTTTGGGATCAGTGATATGTAATGTCATCGTTGGGGGTAAAATACGTAAGGTTTAGACGCATTATTTAATGGATTTCTACTGCTTGTGGGTATTTTCTTCTCATGAGGAAGGTTTTTGAATTCATCACATTATCTTAGGAAAGATGAGTTGTAGTTGGTGAGGCATATATGATGACCGACGAGCGTACATCTGTCCATGTGATGTCGTGGAGAGAAATACCTTAGACGGCATTGCTTACGAAAATAATGAGGCGATATTTGAACTGTTTAGCAAGCACTCCGCCAGATTATACACCTTAGAGAATAACGAGGTCGTGGATTTCCCACGAAAAACAGACGAATGTTTAAGTGACATAATTATCATCACACATGATATCCATAAAGTTGTCGAGAATTTTAGGCTTAGTAACACTATTGGACCAGGCGGTGCATCTTCAGTTCTACTGAAAAACGGTGGTGATGACATGGATTTACTCTTACTCAAGTTATACTCAATGTCAATGTAGTTGAAGATTGAACGATCAATTCATTGTTGTTTGCTCAAAACCAACTTCCCCAATTTTCGCGGAGGCATCAATACGACAGTCACCGTCTCATCGGTCGCTGTTCAGAAAGAAGTCAGGAGACAACTGTCAGAAGTATATATTGTGATTTAATATTGTAATATTTGTTCACAGACTTAAGTGGAATTATTTTTTATATGTTGGTGTTACAATAAAGAATCCTCGAGTAGCCAATCGGTGTTTTGGTTTTGCGTCTGTTATTACTAAGCGTTTCTGAAAAACTTCAAGGAACAGCATGAGCCCGAGCGTAGCAAGAGCTGGGCATTGACGGTTTAGGAGACGTGGCTGACATTCAATTTCTTTAAGCGATGGGACATACGCTACCCGCTGGAAGAAGACTCATATTGTACCTATCCACAAATGCGGGCCTATGGCTGATATCAGCAACTACCGCCCCGTCAACATAGCGTCTGTAGTTTTATGTGTAATGGAAAATTTAGTAAAGACTCAAATCATTCAGTACTTGCTGTCAAATGACCTACTATCCCCATCCCAATACGGTTTCTTAAGTAGAAGGTCGTGCATAACTTGCCACTTAGATTATTTTGACTACTTAACACAAAGCATTGATAATGGGCGTTCGGTAACAACATTGTTTCTCGATGTTAGCAGGGCCTTCGATAAAGTTCCACATATCAGACTCATAACAAAACTCCAATCCTACGGAATAACCGGAAATCTTCTCAAATGGATAAGTTCTTTTCTCACAGAAAGAGAGCAATTAGTCAAAATCAGCCACGAGCTGCCTTCCTCAAAGCCGATAACCAGTGGTGTAATACAAGGTGGTGTTCTTGGCCCTATTCTATTCCTCCTATTTATAAATGACATAGTCTCTGTGATCAAGTATATCAAGCCATACCGTTTTGCAGATGATCTCAAGATGGTAAATGATTATGGGTATGGTGATATGAGCGTTGAAAGCAAGATCCAACAAGAGTTAAACGATCTAGGCGATTGGAGAGAAAAGTGACAACTGACTTTCAACCCAGACAAGTGCGGTATAACCCACCTTGGACGCTGTAAGCCGAGAATGTGCCTCTATGTGTACGGTAAGCTCCTCTCAAAACTGAACACAGTCACGGATCTCGGGATAACATACTCAGATTTATCCTTTTCCGACCATGCAAATAAGGTTGTATCTGACTGTGAACGACTTACTGGCTTTATACTGCGTAACTTCTACACCCAAGAAGCAAGATTAGCTATATATAGGACATGTATCCGTCCCAAACTCGAATATTGTGCTCTCCTATTTAGTAACCTCAGGTCTGCAGATGGAAGAAAAATCGAAAGTGTCCGGAGATTCCTCACGAAACGCATAATAGGGTTCGACCAACAAGTGGAATATGGTGACAAGTGTACCCGCGCGCTTCGTGTAGGACGTTACAATCTCTCCATATAACGTGGAAATATCTTTTCGAATTCTGGAATATCGTGGTCTATATTTGACTACTATATAATTATAGCTGATATTGGTTGCACCTCCGGTAGCTAAATATCCAAATTTATCACCTCCAGAATACTGTTTGGATCCAGTCAGATTCGTGTTAATAAAGAGCAATCTATCACAAAAGAACTATAGAGAAGTCCTTAGTTTTGTTGTTTATAACTGTCAGAGTTAACTCGTTTGATAGTGGTCTATTTTTAGTTCGTACTTCATACATTCATACCTGTTTATTGTTGTTTTTATCTACTTAGATAATATAACAGTATTTCACACACTTTTGTCAATTTTTGAGAAATTTTTATAATCTTTACCTCCATAATGGTCAAAGTTATTAAACGAGTTAGTACTGTTAAGAGACTAGCATCAAATAGTCAGCCGGTCACTAGAAACATTAGTCCTGACGATGAATTTGTACTAAGATCAATTGATACACCGAGAGTTATAGTACCAAACTTAATGGAAGAACTAATCGATAACGTAGCCCGTAACACTAGTGATCTAAAGATCCTTCAGAAATCTATAACAGACCTGCAGGATAAGTTCGAAAGTATCACTCCTTTCCTCCAACTTTGTGATCCATCACAAGAAATTTGCTTAGATTCACTCCTCAAATCTGAGCGCCTGCTAGACTTTTTGACTGCAGAGGCTGTAAAGAGGGTCATGTCCTCATACAATGTTTTAGGATATAATATACCAGACAATGTACCTATTATCAAACTTAAAGCAATCTGTCTACAGGCATGCAACATTTCAGTATCTGACTGCCAGGTTCTGCGTCTTCGTAAGAAATCCGCAAACCACCCATGTCCTGTACTCTTCAAATTTAAGTCTATTGACCTAGCTAAGAAATTTTTGGAGTCTGGCAAAACTCTTGGCTCCTCAACACCCTACACCAATATCAGGATTGTACCTGATTTAACTTCTTGCCAAAGACGTTGCCGCGCAGGTAAACTGAGGGAAGACAACCCCAATAAGACAACCGATGTTAATACTTCCCTCGTTGTATTGCCTGATGACCAAGAGCACCAGATAATATCGCATACACAAACTAACAGTAGTCAAGCAACTGTTGAAGACTTAGCTCGAAATACTGAAATTTCAGACA